TGATTTCAGGAGTAGATTCTTTAGTGCCCTTCACCCATTTAGCCCATCCCCTGCTCCCACAACCTCTCCAGCAACCCTCTGTTTGTTCTCCATATTTAAGAGTCTTATGTTTTGTCCCCCTCCCTGTTTTTATATTATTTTTGCTTCCCTTATGTTCATCTGTTTTGTATCTTAAAGTTCTCATATGAGTGAAGTCATATGATATTTGTTTCTAATTTCACTTAGCATAATACCCTCTAGTTCCATCCACATAGTTGCAAATGGCAAGATTTCATTCTTTTTGATTGCCGAGTAATACTCCATTGTGTGTGTGTGTGTGTGTGTGTGTGTGTGTGTGTGTGTGTGTGTCTTCTTTATCCATTCATCCATTGATGGACCTTTGGGCTCTTTCCATACTTTGACTATTGTTGATAGTGCTGCTGTAAACATTGGGGTGCGTGTATCCCTTCCAAACAGCATACCTGTATCCCTTGGGTAAATATCTAGTAGTGTAATTGCTGGGTCGTAGGGTAGTTCTGTTTTTAAATTTTTGAGGAATCTCCATACTGTTTTCCAGAGTAGCTGCCCAGTTTGCATTCTTACCAGCAGTGCAAGACAGCTCCTATTTCTCTGCATCTTCGCCAACATCTGATGTTGTGAATGTTAGCCATTCTGACAGATGTAAGGTAGTATCTCATGGTGGTTTTGATTTGTATTTCCCTGATGATAAGTGATGTTGAGCATCTTTTCATGTGTTGGTTGGCCATCTGGATGTCTTCTTTGGAGAAGTGTCTATTCATGTCTTTTGCCCATTTCTTCACTGGATTATTTGTTTTTTGGGTGTTGAGTTTGAGAAGTTCTTTGTAGATTTTGGATATTATTTATCTGATATGTCATTTGCAAATATCTTCTCTAATTCTGTCAGTTGCCTTTTAGTTTTTCTGATTGTTTCCTTTGCTGTGCAGAAGCTTTTTATTTTGACGAGGTCCCAATAGTTCATTTTTGCTTTTGTTTCCCTTGCCTCTGGAGACGTGTTGAGTAAGAAGTTGCTGTGGCCAAGGTCAAAGTGGTTTTTGCCTGCTTTCTCCTCAAGGATTTTGATGGCTTCCTGTCTTACATTGAGGTCTTTCATCCATTTTGAGTTTATTTTTGTGTATGGTGTAAGAAAGTGGTCCAGGTTCATTCTTCTGCACGTCACTGTCCAGTTTCCCAGCACCACTTGCTGAAGAGACTGTCTTTAGTTGGCCATATGTTTGTGGGTCCATTTCTGGGTTCTCTATTCTGTTCCATTGATCTGAGTGTCTGTTTTTGTGCCAGTATCATACTGTCTTGATGATTACAGCTTTGTAGTATAGCTTGAAGTCTGGGATTGTGATGCCTCCTGCTTTGGTTTTCTTTTTCAAGATTGCTTTCGCTATTCCAGGTCTTTTCTGGTTCTGTACAAACTTTAGCATTGTTTGCTGTAGCTCTGTGAAGAATGCTGGTGTTACTTTGACAAGGATTGCATTGAATGTATAGATTGCTTTGGGTAGTGATGACATTTTAACAATATTTGTTCTTCCTATCCAGGAGCATGGAATCTTTTCCCATTTTTTTTTTTTTTGTGTGTGTCTCCTTCAATTTCTTTCATAAGCTTTCTATAGTTTTCAGTGTAAAGATTTTTCACCTCTGGTTAGATTTATTCCTAGGTATTTTATGGTTTTTGGTGCAGTTGTAAATGGGATCGATTCCTTGATTTCTCTTTCTGTTGCTTCATTTTTGGTGTGTAGGAATGCAACTGATTTCTGTGCATTGATTTTATATCCTGCCACTTTGCTGAATTCATGGACCAGTTCTAGCAGTTTTTTTGTGGAATCTTTTGGGTTTTCCATATAGAGTATCATGTCATCTGCGAAGAGTGAAAATTTGACCTCCTCCTGGCCGATTTGGATGCCTAAGGGTTAAAGCTTCTAGTATGTGATTAGAGCTACTAAAAATAGGGAAACATCTCCATATGCAAGAAAATTAGAACATGTGTTTTTCTCCTCCATTTCTTATAGCTTCTTTATCAAAAATTTTTGTCCTAAAGTGAGACTAATGTTTTTTTTTTCACATTCAGATTTTTTCCTCTTTAAAAAGTCTTGGGGCGCCTGGGTGGCGCAGTCGGTTGAGCGTCCGACTTCAGCCAGGTCACGATCTCGCGGTCCGTGAGTTCGAGCCCCGTGTCGGGCTCTGGGCTGATGGCTCAGAGCCTGGAGCCTGTTTCGGATTCTGTGTCTCCCTCTCTCTCTGCCCCTCCCCCGTTCATGCTCTGTCTCTCTCTGTCCCAAAAATAAATAAACGTTGAAAAAAAAAAAAAGTCTTAAAAGATTGTGAACAAGGAATCTTTAAAATGATTTTAATGTATGATCATTCTGGCTAAGATTAAAATGATTTATTTGAAAAATGAGTTTTAATATAAAAAGCTGGTACAAATTAAAATTTGTTTTTTGTCTGTTCAAATCATAACAGTAATCTAAGAAAATGTCCTTTTAATTGTAAACAATTTTTTTACTTTTAATGCAATGTACCTAGAAAAATAAAGGTTCCATGTTTTGTCTTCAAGTCTTTGATTACTTAGAAAAAAGAGTGTTTAATTTTATTTGCCTATGAAGTCTTTAACTGCCACTTTAGATAAAATGGATAATTATTGTATGATATGTTACTCTGTTTAATGAAAAGTCTGAACTTTTTTTATTTTTTATTTTTTTGACAAAACTCCCAAATTCTAAAATGAAGTCTTCCTGAGTTTGAAACTTCCCAGAGGATCTCTGGAAGATTTCAAGGGTTTGTTATTCCCATAAAAGAGAGATGTTAAAGGCAGCAACCTCTTTGACTTTGGCTACAGCAACTTCTTCCTTGACATGTCTCTGAAGGCAAGGGAAATAAAAGCAAAAATAAACTATTGAGACGTCATCAAGATAAAAAGCTTCTACACAGCAAAAGAAACAAAACTGAAAGGCAACCTGTGGAATGGGAGAAGATATTTGCAAATGACAAATTGGATAAAGGGTTAGTATCCAAAATCTATAAAAAACTTACCAAACTCAACATCCAAAAAACAAACAATCCAGTGAAGAAAAAGCCAGAAGACATGAATGGACACTTTTCCAAGACACATGAAAAGATACTCAACAATGCTCATCATCAGAGAAATACAAATCAAAACCACACTGAGATACCACCTCATACTGGTCAGAATACCTAAGATTAACAACTCAGGAAACAACAGATGTTGGCAAGGATGTGGAAAAAGGGGAGCCCTCTTGCACTTTTGGTGGCCTGCAAACTGGTGCAGCCACTCTGGTAAACAGTGTGGAGGTTCCTCAAAAAATTAAAATTACAAATACCCTACCATCCAACAATTGCATCATTAGGAATTTATCCAGAGAATACAGGAGTGCTGACCCGAAGGGGCACATGCCCCCTAATGTTGATAGCAGTGCTATCAACAATAGCCAAATTCTGGAAAGAGCCCAAGTGTCCATCAACTGATAAATGGATTAAAGAGGTGTGTGTGTATACACAATGGAATTGTATTACAATGGACTACTACTCAGCCATCAAAAAGAATGAAATCTTGACATTTACAACAACATGGATGAAACTGGAGGGTATTATTCTAAGCAGAATAATTCAGAAAGATATGATGTCACTCATATGTGGAATTGGAGAAACTTAAATGATCATAGGGGAAGGGTAGGAAAAATAAAAACAGAGAGGCAAACCATAAGAGACTTTTAAATACAGAGAACAAACAATTGATAGGGGTTGGGTGATGGGCATTAAGGAGGGCACTTGGGATGAGCTCTGTGTGTTATATGTAACAGATCACTGGATTCTACTCCTGAAGCCAAGACTACACTGTATGTTAGCTAACTTGAGAATAAAGAGATGTTAATTATGTTTATTTGGTATGTTAAATTGCATGGGAATCATTGTCAAGTAAGTGATGCTAAACCTTCTTAGATTATATTTCCATAAATATAATTAAGTGTTCTAGAAATTGTGTGAGACTCCTAGAAATTGGTTATGTTATCACTTGTAATTCTAGTTATTATCTTGAAGTATTGGTTATTTCTGTGATGATTAAATCTCCTTGTCAATTGCATTGTAACAATGTTTTTAAATTGTTTTTGAGAGAGAGCAGAGGGGCAGAGAGAAAGGGAGAGACAGAGAATCCCAAGCAGGCTCTGCACTGACAGCGCAGAGATCAATTGAGGGCTCAAAGTCACAAACCGTGAAATCATGACCTGAGCTGAAATCAAGAGTTGGATGCCTGACCCACTGAGCCACCCAGTGCCCCTGCATTGTAATGAATTCTAATCAAATCATTAACCATTACCATTTTTAAGTAATTTTCAGTTATTGTTTTACTTTGATGCTTTTGCAAAAGTGCTTCATCTTCAAGGAGATTCAGGAAAAAGACTGATAAATACCTGGAATATCGGTCTCTTATAACTTAAGATCATACCGTTGAACTGAGTAAGAATTTACACAGCTCTATTGGAGAAACTGATGGCTTCACAAAAGTAACAGAAGGTCAAGATGAAGGGAAATTAATTACAGGGGTGCCTGGGTGGCTTCAGTTGGTTAAGCACTGACTCTTGGTTTCAGCTCAGGTCATGATCTCATGGAGCCCTGCATCTGTCAGTGCAGAGCCTGCTTGAGATTCTCTCCCTCTCTCTCTCAAATAAAACAAAAAGAGAAATTAATTACGAATGGGAGTGAATAAACTGAAAATTTTTAGGATTTTTATTTTTTGAAATACTGCTTTGTAAAAAAAAATTTTAAGTTTGAGAGAGAATGCAAGTGGGGTAGGAACAGAGAAAGAGGAAAGAGAATCCCAAGCAGATTCCCCACTGTCAGTGCAGGCCTGATGTGAGGCTTGAACTCATAAACTTTGAGATCATGACCTGAGCCGAAACAAAGAGATGGACCCTTAACTGACGGAGCCACTCAGATGCCCCAAAATACTAGCTTTTTCATCTTTTTTTTCCCAGATACAGGAAAACCTTTCCTCAGCAATTTGGTAATTTATACCTTTGTAAGCTCTGCCTGCCTGATCACCCCAGAATTTGGAAACTCTCAGTGAGTATTCTTATATACTTATTGAACATATACAAATATATTGCCATAAGAATCTGTCTTCCTTATAACAGGACAGTTGGGAACACTGGTTTTATTACTAAGGTTTTGACTGGAATGTCATATTTAAGAGAGATCTGCATAGGCTCAGATATAACTAGACAGCTTTAAGCAACTAATACTGACTTTATGGAGCCAATAAAGTACCTTGGAATTAGTGTGATACTTGCTTACAGGTTTTCAGCATTCTTACCAGGTAAGTAAAGAGGGCCACTTCCAGGCACGTGCAGGAACCTCAGGATATTTTGGGGACCCTGTTAAAAAAGGAAGTAACCTAAATCCATAGGTATTGCAGGCAAAGCATGATGGCACATATTTTGCTTTATTTCTTAGCCTCAAGGCGCTGTTAAAAATTCAACCTGAGATGTTTTATGAAAAGTTCCACCAAAGCAGATGTAAAAGATCCTATATGATCAATCATGACTCTCACTGCACTTATATATAATCAAGCTAAGTTCATTGAAACTAGCCTTGTTTGCAAACAAATTAGTCTTAATGGTTATAATTGATAGAAATGGGGGTAATTGTAGAGAGAAAAATTGTTTTGACTGAAACTATGAACTTTTAGATATTAGATTCTAGTTCTATTAATTGACTTTGTTCTACCTGTAAACTAGACTAGATCCTTAATTTTAGTATCTCAAATCTGGTTACATCTTTCCAAAGTAACATTTCTGATTATCTCCCATTCTTTTGAAACATTGAAAGTGAATATGAATGACTTGGATGGGACCAGAGAAACCACCAGAACAGCATATGTATGGATAATCTTTTACTGGTTGTTGTGTGGCCAGAGATCACCACAGACATTTAACCTGCAAACCAGAAAGATCATTTGATTGTGACTTGCCTTCACTCCATCTAAGATGCTTTGAAATTTGGATCTAGACATCTTCTCAACTGGCTACCCTCAGAACTAAGAAACCGTTTTACAATTCAGTCTCCCCAAACTGAGGCAGCACTCTGGGATATAGACACTATCATAACCAGTATCACCACTGGATCTAGACTTTATGACATGGTGATATGTCACCAATATCACCGTGACATCCAGACCTTATGTGACATGTTCTTTGCTATTGTAATTGAGGAGGAGAGCCAACCCATGGTTGCATTTATCTGGCAAGGCAGGCGGTATCAGTTTGCTAGGCTACCACAAGGATACCTTAGCAGTCTAGTAATAGCCCATAATGTTTCAACACAAGACATCCAGGCCTTTGATGAAAACACACACAAAAACCCAGTATTTCCTATATATTGATGACATCCTTATTTATGGCGGTAACTAGGAAAAACACATTAGGGTCAAAATAGAATTAATTTAATTACTTACACTCAGAAAATGGAAAACTGACCCAAGTGAGGTCCACACACTACAGTAAAAGTGCTAGGCAAAATGTAGTCCTCTGGAGGCATAAAAAAACCCACACCTAGTCATAAACAATATCAATTGTGTATTGACTCCTACCACAAAAGAAGCAGCTCAGAAACTGAGAGGACTGTTTGGATATTTGGTATAGCACATACCACTTCTGGTGATAATATTAAAACACATTCATGAAATAAATAGGATGAGTAGAGACTTTAGATGGCTAGAGACTCAAGACAGCCTTTATTTGAAAAATGCTGTCAGAATGTTTAACACATTGGCATCATCTAATGAGGACTTTAAATACAAATTAGAGTGCCTGTACTCAGGAGAGTTTGCAGCAGCATCACTGTGGACCGAAACACCACAGAACTCCAAGTTTTACCCAACTGGGCTTTACACTAAGGAGTTCCCATTGTCTGAGAACATACACCAACCAATTGAAAGGCTCACCTAAACATTCTACAAGGCCCTAGAAAATACACACTAAGAAAATAAACCAATTACACTTAAACTCCCCAAAACCCTTCTGTAGTAGATAAAGCAGACCTCTACAAAGAGATGGGAAGTACTCTTGACTATAAAGCTATAAAATAACAATGGTACATATCTGAGTAGGGCCACAGATTAAAAGTTGACCTGCATTAACTAAAAAATATCTCAGCAATGCCAATAGTGGACTTGCTGGATTTTGAGGAGTAAGTTCAAGTGGTTAGGTAATAGGGATCACAGCAGTCAATGGTGCATGCTTTTATTTACTTTATATATATGTATATGTGTGTATATATATATATATATAGTAAATTTATATACATATATTTATATGTGTGTGTGTGTGTGTGTGTGTGTAGAGGGGGGGGGGCTGGAATATGAATGTGCATGAGTGGAGGAGAGGGGAAGAAGGAGAGACAGAGAATCTCAAGCAGGCTCCATGCTCCACATGGAGTCCAATGCAGAACTCAATCCCATGGCCCTGGGATCATGGCCTTAGCTGAAAATCAAGAGTTGGACACTCAACCAGCTGAGCTAGCCAAGTGTCCCAACAGTGCATGATTTTAGATGGATCAGCTTTCTTGCCATCATCCAGAATATCCTGGCAGTCAATCTGTAGAGGAATGACTAATAATGGACAAACCAGGATAGAATCAGGCTTGGGAGAATCAGCACAACATCAATTTATGGCTAAACTAATAGCTATAAAATTGGCAATTGAACAGTCTGTTAAGGGAAGTCAGAACGAGGTATGTAATTTTTGGATCCAAGGATGGTAGGTAAATCAATAGCTAGCTCTCTGGTCAGGTCATGGCAGGACCTGGGAAATAGGATGTAAGAGCATTTGGGGTAATGGCATATGGCAGAAAATAGCACTGGATGACATCTCTATATTGGTTACACACATCTCTGCACATCAGAAGGACAACTATGAAGTTACCAAATTTAATAACCAAGTAAACAAACTCACTAGGAAAACTAAAGAGGTAAAGATTCCTAAATTTATGAAAAAAAACAATGATTCATGTATAAGGATGAAATCAATTCAAAACATAATCATACATAAAGACAATGGAACATAAAATGTGGACACACAGATATGCCAATGGATAGGATCATTGTATGGGCACATCACCAAACAGGCCATAGTGGCAAACATGGCACTAGAACATCGTTGGAGAAAAGAAACATGTATATATCCACAAAATACCTTTAATTTAAAATTATGGGATGTAATTGCCACAATTTTGAAGCTTAGAGGATTCATTCATTGATTCTTCATTAATGAATCATCCAGATACATGCAAAGACAACAAACCCTTCCAAATTGTACAAAGTGATTACATGGAATGCTAGCCTATATTGGAGAATAAATTATGTGTATCAACAATTTTATACACATCAATTACTCTATCCTTGTGGAAGAAATAATAAAAAATCCACCATATGAGCCTTAGAAATCTGGATTCCCTGCTCTGGTAATTCAACCATCATAAAATCAGATTAGGGCACCTACTTCACATAACAGCTAATCAAGAATGGGCTAAGGAACAAGGCATAATATGAAACTTCCTCTTATTCTACAACCCAACTGTCTCTGGATCAATTGAAAGGTATCATGGCTTAAGCAAAAGCTTAGGTTGCTTACTAACAATCTAGATATGAAATCTTGGACTAAAATGATCTGGAAGGTGGCAATCACTACACCATAGATATAGAAAGGATGAAAAAATTCCTATTAGTATCGCAGGCAGCTACAGAGATAGGAATTAGCATTAATACCACCCCAGAATCTAAAATAGGAAAAGTATTAACTAAAAAACAAGAATATGGGGAAAATCATAGCACCTGCCATAATAAAACCCTACTTGGTGACCAAAGGAAAAGGTATATTACAACAAATTAAAGACCATAATATGATGCATCTGTAAAAATTTCAGGCATATAGAACATCTTTTATCAACATTGAATGCCTAATATTAGCTAGTATAATGTAGGATGATAATACTTGGGACAATGTCAATAATTGTCATAACAACTAGTGTTTCCCTTGAGTGGCAAGAACAAGAAAGAATTACAAATTTATAGGACACTGTATTTTGCAGGCATGACTCTGCTTTGCATCTTCAACTCTATTATTAAGTAGGTCAGTGCAGCATGCTGCTTATTGGCCATACTCTTCTATTGCTTACTTTGGAAAGCATACTCAGTAAAGCTACAGATATTCCTCTGTAAAATCAGTTGTGCCAGTGTTCCAAAATGGACTACCTTCTGCTCCAAATTTAATTTGAGTCTGTGACATCCTCTTCTTCCTCCATGGGTTGCCATTTTGGTCACCTTATAGCAACTGATGACTTAACTGCATTACAGGCATCACCAAGCTCAACCTCTCCACTTCTCCCTTCACTGTCAGCACCATCTACTCAGAAAACTTTAGTCAATGGAGAAACCAAATGGTTAGAGAAGCTGTTGAAGCAGTTGAAACTTGCCTTTCAATCTCCACATGAATTCCCAAGGATCTGAATGACACTAGGACGGAGTGTTGTGTATTAGTTTCAAAAGCACTAGTATATGAGAAAGACAAAGTTGTTTTTAGAAGTTGTCTTGATATCACAATAAAGTAAGCCCTATCAGGATGTATTCATCTCATCTGTTTTTACTCACAAGAATTAGCACTTCTGAGGGTCCCTGCTGGGAGCTTATCCATAAAAAACATATGAAGAAGTACCATGGCAAGGGGAAATTTAGACTAAATACTGTTTGTGGGGAGTATCCAAGAGTGTTTCATCTGAGCAGGGCTGTAGTTTCTAATGTAAATAACCAGTCCCAACACTCTGCATCTACCTTGATAGCACCCTGTATCCCACCCCAGCATTCTCCTATAGACCAACTCCACCCAAGCCCCTCACTTTGACAGGCATCCCTCCAAAGCAGCTCCTGCCAAGCCACACTTGGAAGGTATATCTGGCTGGGACCAGTGCCAGTCTAAAGTAATTTCTTCCCTGAGGCAGAAACTAGCATACCTTAGTTCCAACAGCTGGGCCTCTTTGTTGGCTGTGAAGGGATGAAACCCTGCCCATTA